ACAGAGAAAACTGAGCTGAAAGAAAGGTGCGTTCTAAGGAAAAGTCACAGGTCTGAAACGTTAACTCTGCTGTCTCTCCACAGCCCTGCGGAGTTTCTCCAGCAATTTCAGATGTTGCTGGTAAATGTAAGGATAGGTACATGAATGAGCAATCAAATACATAAAGGAACATTAACAATTATCAAATTATGCAGTGCTGTCGGGAAAGATAATTGCCAGTTCTTTCTATCTGCGAGACAGATGTTAATTAGTAACTTTGCGTGAGAGACAGGGTTTACGTCTTTTTTTAAAAAAAGCATCAATTTGAAATGCAAATTCAAACATTAGGGTAGGAATGAAAGGGAAACAAAGGAGAGGAGAGGATCAGGTAATTACCTCCAGCCTCTCATCACAGAGCCTTTGTGGGGCTAGCAATAACTTCACTTCCTGCTCCAGGTCAACTGTATTCTGCCCCTCATTAAATGAAACTAACTTATCCATAACCTTGCTGACCTATGTGTTCCCAACCTGGCACCATATATTTCATTTTAGTTTTTTAGTAATTCATGAGATGAGGCGTCACTGGTTTGGCCTAGCATTTAGTGCCCATCCCTAATTGCCAGAGGGCAGTTAGGAGTCAACCAAATTGCTATGGGTCTCGATTCACATGTAGGCCAGATCATCTAAGGACAGCGATTTCATTCTTTAAGGGACATTAGTGAACTACAAGGGTTTTTCCAACAACTGACAATGAATTCACGGCCATCATTAGACTCTTAATTCCAGATTTTTATCGAATTCAAATTCCACCATAAAGTGAGGTAGAATTCAAACTCAGGTCCCCAGAACATTATCTAGGTCTCTGGATTAACAGTCCTGCAGTAATATCACCAGGTCACCTCCCACTTTGTCAACCATTATCAACATCCCAGTGATTAACATTGGCCAGAAACTGAACTGGCCTAGCTATTAAATACTGTAGGTATAAAAGCAGGAAAAAAGGCTAAAATATTATATAGTGAGTAACTCACCTCTTGTCTCCACAATGCCTGTTCACCATTTAGAAGGCAGAAATCAGGAATGTGGTGGAAAACTCTCTACTTGCTTGCATGAATGTAGCTCTAATAAAACTCAAGAAATTCAAAGCTAGCTTGGATGAATCGGTCTACCTAATGGCAACACATCCACCACGTTAAACATGCATTCCCTCTGTCACTGATGACCAGCAGTGTGCACACATTCAACATTCAGTAATTCATCAAACCACCTTTGACAGAATTTTCCAAACCCATGACCTCCCCCATTTAGAATGAAGGGCAGCCAATAATTTGGAACATGCCTACCTCAAATCCACATATCATTCTGACTTGGAACTATATCACCATCCCTTCACTGTCATGGTTTAAATCCTGCAATTCCCTTTTCTCCACAATTGTGACTCCGAGAATTTCAAGTGAATCATAGCAGTATCTTGTTGAAGGAAATGCCAAAAGCTAAATGGTGTACATTTGAGAATGGGTGTTTTAAATAGTCCAGAACTGGATTACAAGGATGCAAACAATTGATAAAGAAAGTGGTACTGGGAGAATAATGTGGTAGAACCCAATATTGCAAACTTACTACACAGAAGTCAGGGAAGAAATATAGTGGAGACACAAAGGATTAAATGCGGAAAAGTTAGTTTGGGCCCTTTTCACCTGATCTGCCACAAGCTGGCAAGTCCCACTATCTTGATGCTCAAGTACACCTCACAACACTCAGATCCCAAGATTCCTCTCAGTTGCTTGCAAATGTCAACATCCAGATTCACCATAATTTCCGGACTACCACATCCTCTAAAGCTTTCCTCCCACTGCCTCCAGTTTAAGATTTAGTTCTACAAGTACAGAACCTTTGAAAAAAATCTCCAATGCTCCCACAGTGTACTTTTTTTAAAAATGTGCTCGAAAGCTCGGAGACATTTTAATATTGACAGAGTGCAGACCTCTTTCCTAGTGCTCTAGGCCCACTCTGTTTAAACAAGGCAGTGGCTCTGAAATTGATTAGTATTCTTATAAAATTTCAGAATCAGCAAAAGAAAACACCACTGCTGGCAGCCTACTAGCTCATTATAAAAGACCATCAGAACTGGTGTGCACAGGAGTACAGTGTAATTGCTTTTAATTTAATGCTCGCATCCTACAAACACAGATGAAAAAGGTGACTCAGGTGGTTAACGCAACAATGAATCAGGGTAATTGAATCCTCCTACAATGCAGTTCTTTGTTTGGGCCAGCATCAGAAACCAAAAAACACTACCCAAGTACTGCTATATTTTGATATCCTTTGATCAGAACTACTCTAGAACAAAAGAATAGAGAACAAAAATAACAAGAACATAATTCCCCCTCCCCTATGTAGATATTCAATGCTTTGTTGGAACAAACCTTCATTTCCATAGCAACAACAGAGTCACAGTTGCACCTGATATTTATTTTAATACAAAGTTTATATGGCTCAAAAGGTCCTCTAAAACTGGTTTACGGTAATTTCAGTAAAGTTTTGCTAGAAAAATTAATGAGTCAACTGTGATTTGTACTTAGGGATAGCAAAATGTTTCTTAATACTGCGAATATTTCATGATTTACTTGGGTTTATGAAATAATCCTGCCTCTAATCCTCCTTGGCTCAGATTTAAGCAACATTTGGTTAAAGCCCAAGATGACTTCTCCATTTTTCTTGAAGAAAGTCAATCATTTATGTGACCTATTTATATACAATGTTAATTCACGATTGTAAAATCCAAATTTTAGGATGTACATTCCATTTCCACTCACAGCCACACAGGGTACAAAACGCTCAGCTGACCCAAAGGCCAATTTTGTATTGATTTCCTACAGGCTTTTTTTTGACCTCCCCACTACTAGGTTAGGACACAGCTAGTTAAGATCACCCCAGGTTAAGGGCCATTCATGAGCTTGAATCGAGGATTGAGTAACAAACTGAAAGCTGAGCGTCAAGATAAATGGGCCTTTTTCTGGTTGGCGAGATGTGACTAGTGAGGTGTGACAGGGTTTGGTCCTCAGGCCTCAGCTATTTATAATCTATATTAATGGTTTGGATGTGGGAATAGAAAGTACTACAGTCAAATATGAAGTTGATAGTAAAAGAAGGGGGAGGGTAAGCTGCAATGAAGCATTAAGAAATTTAAAAATGGATATGGATGGGCTAGGTGAATGGGCCAAAATTTAGCAGCTGGAGTTTGATGTGGGTAAGGGTGGGGTTATCTGTGTTGGTCAGAGGCATAGAAAGACAACATATTATCTAAATGGAGAGAAACTTCCGAGTGCTTCTGTGCAGAGGGATCTGGGTATCTTTGTACATTAATCGCAAAAAGCTGGTATGCAGTCACAGCAGGTAATAAGGAAGGTGAATAGAATTTTGGCATTTATTGCCAAAGGAGGAGTATAAAAGTAGGGAAGTATTGCTGCAACTGAACAGGAGCACTGTGTATAATTTTGGTCCCTTAGTGGAGGGATGTATTTGTACTGGAGGCAGATCAGAGAAGGTTCTCTAGATTGTTTCCAGAGATGAGTGGTTTGTCTTAAGAGAGACTGAACAGTTTAGGCCTATACACTCTGAAGTTTACAAGAATAAAATCTATTTGAGATACATAAAATGCTCAAGCGGATTTACAAAGTAGATGGAGAGACAAAGTTTCCTTACATGGAACAATCAAAAATGTAGATCACAGTTTTAGGATTAGGGGTAGCAGATTTAAAACTGATACAAAGCAATTACTTTTCTCAAAGGGTCATGAATTTGCAGAATTTGCTACCCAATTTTGGTGGATGCAGGGACATTATTTAGCCTTAAAAAGGAGATAGACCAATGCTCAATTCGTAATGGGTTGAAGGGTTATGGGAGACTGGGCAGGAAAGTGGAGTTGAGGCTGAGATAGGAACAAGTGGTAGATGAGGCTTAACAGCATGAATTGCCTGATCCTGCTCCTTGTTCTTGTGACCTGCTTTCAATTTTGTTATATTGTTATGAATCACCTTTTCCTTTCACTGGCATCATAATCCTGTTGTCAGTTGAGGTGTAACTTTAAAAATTAGCCTTGGCTCATATTAATATCTCAGACTAATTGTGGGCATTTGCAAAATTTCATCTTGCTATAGAATAGTATTTGGAGGTCCAATATAAAAGCATTTGGAAAAATTAGCCAGTCCACCTGTTACACCTTTAACATAAACTCTGTCCTGGCATGTTTCCGAGGCTAGGGTCAGGAGTCTTTTACATGTGCTTGAAAGGACAAGAGGAGATCTAGATTTAACATCACGTGAAAGAAAGCATCTGACAATTCAGTATTCCCTTAGTATGGAAGTGAAAAGCCAGCTTAGAGTCCATGTTGAAGTCTCTGTTCCTACAATCTTCTGATGGAGGAACAAGGGTGCCAGTATTGAACTGCGACTGATATTAGTAGGTACAAAGTCATCACACGTCAGTGATTAGGATGACCAAATTCAGGAAACAGCAAATTCATAGGTCCTCATCCTTTTACAGCCAGCCAATTAGAGAAGTTCAAAATAAAGATAAATATAAGTAGCCAATATTAAATCTGGATTTTTTTTTTGTTCAAGGTGCAATGATCTCTTAAAAATTTGCAACTGGTAAAGTCTTCATAAAACCTTTACCTGTGGGTGATTTCTCATCTGACATGTTTCTGATCGCCCAGGTTACCCAGTGGAAAATTTTGTATCAAAGGCAGTGCACTGAAAAACTCCAGGAACAGAAAATATTGACTCACAGTAGTAATTATTCTTTGAAATAAATCACTTAATTAGATTTGGCAACTGTAAAGAAACACCAACAATTTGGCAGCAAAACCTTTCTTAAAATCATATTTTCCTGCCACATAACAGTTTACCCTGACTGAAGCAGCACAGGTAGTTTGCAAATGTCAAGTTAGGTTAACAGTCAAGAACATTAATTTCCTGAAGTTCAGAAAATATATTGTAATAATTATTACACAGTTTGTATTATAGTTTCAAAGCAACAAATTTGCTCAGGAAGATCATTTTATTATCTCATGGATAGAGAAAGGTGTTAACTTGGAGTAAATTCCTTTTGTACAAACAGAAGGTGATATAATACATTCAGTTCCATGTTCCGATTCCTCCATTTTTATTAAATAATAAATTCAGGCCACTGATGTGAAAGAAAATGGCAGGTCCATTCCTTGGATCCCCAGTGTCATCATTCAGGAAGCCCCTTTGGTTCTCATTTTGGTCAATAACATTTCATTTATATGACATTCCTGCAAAGTAAAGTAAATTAATTAGTATAAAAGGTTCTTGAGCAGAGAAGGTAATTACTTATAAAAGGAAGTGGATGATTTTATATTTGACAGAATGACAGCTTGAAAAAGTAATCATGTGAAACTGATTATTTAACATCCACCATAATTTTAGTGGACTCCACAGCAATAATTTTGCAGATAAATGTAATATTATAGTGTGTGTTTATCACAGATTGCAAAACTGTGGTAGTGAGTGATAGCACAGACCAAGTTGAGTTATTAGGCAATTTTCTTAAATTTATATCATTTGATTGATTAATGTAACCTACAAATCAAGTTGTGTTTAGCATAAATCAATTACTGTTGCTTCTCCAGTTATCAGACAGGAAAACCCTTGCTCCTGGCCAATCCATCAGACGATATCAAAGCCCTAGTTTCCTTCCAAGTTTTATGTTCGAGCCAAACTGCTCCTTCTAACTCATGGACCTGGAGACTCTTTCTCCTACCCCAGCCAACTATACCAGTTTACAAACAACCCACAAGCAACCAAGAGTGCCTAACTCCCAGTGGGAGGGAGAGGGGGAAGAAAGAGAAGAGATAGGAGCTACCGAAAATGAGATTAAACAATGGAGGGCAAGCATTTGTAAATAGAAATACAGAAATAAAAGTGGGGAAAAAAGAAAATTATGAAGAAAGCAGAAAGTAACAGGTTAGATTAGACAGTTTGGAATTAATGTTGAACACCGTCAGTCTTAGTATTTTTAAATTAAGGCATTCTTTTGGTTCCACATAATTACTGAAACTGTTCCCTCCAATTAATATATGCAAATAAACATTACATCACTGAGGTTTTAACAGTGCTGATATTTACTTCTTTTCCACATTTTTTTTTTGTCCCCTTTGGTCTTTCACCTGCTTATAAGTAAAGTGATCTGCTTAGATATTTTCCAGAATTATTCAATTGGGTGCTTTGGTTTTATCTCATTGTGTCTGGCAGATGCTATAACAGCATCCAGAGTTTTATCAAGCAATAACTCTTGGGTTACATCTACCGTTCCACGGCTGGATGGCCATGCACCAAAACACTAACTGGGATTTCTACCCAGTAAGTTTAAAGCAAACTAGAAGGTTTGATTGTTAAGTACTAAAGATTTTCTGGCAGTCTCCTCTTCCTTCCCTTCCATAATTCCCAAAGCATACCACACAAAACTACAAATGATACGTAATTACAATGTAACATTAGCCCTACAAATTTTATCTTTTCATGAGCGATAAAAATGTATTACCTCTTTAAATTCTTTAACAGTTTTAAAGTACAGACGCTGTTTCTCTAGCAGTTCAAGGTACTCATCGTTCAGCTGATCACGTCTCATTTTGTTTTCTTGCTTTTTCTTCTCCAACTTTTGGTTGGGGTGTAAGATGGGATTCAAGAAAGAAAGACCAACAAAATTAAACAGTGAAGAAATTTGAAGTCACTAGTAAATAATTTGCAATTAGAATTTTATTACATTTACAGCTGCAAAAGAATCAATAGGTCTACGAAGAATACAAGCAACATGTTGCGTTACACTTTTGATTGCTGGAGTTTTGGGCAAAATATTAAATGGCTAGACTAGCTCAGTAGATAAGACACTGTCCGCATTGTAGCAGGTTCTTCAAGAGTCCTGTCCAACATTTGTGCCTCAACCAGCATTACCAAATGCATCTCCAGTGGTTATTCGCCTCATGTGTTATTCTTGGGATCTTGACAAATGCAAACTGACGAGAACAACATGGGCATTTCAGAAAGTGATTAAATAATCTGGGGCATTGATGAGGAAACATATTTAAATACAAGCTTCAGTCTTTTCCAGTATCTATTTCCAAGTAGATTGTAGAAGAAATTAGATCCACATAAGCAGTTTACTGAAATGTGTTCAGGAGAACTTCCTTGATCCAACTAGGAAGGAAACAATGTGTTTGAGAATGACGTGGGCCAGGTCAATGAAGTGTCTGTACTTGAGTAAGAGTTCTTCCCATCACCAGGTTCAGATTAGTAATGGGAGAAGAATAATCTAAAAAAGAACTCCTAAATTGGAAGAGGCTCATCTTTATTGAGATTAAAAAGGATCTAGCAAACGTTAAAAAGACTGATAAGGAAAATTTTATATGAACAATATGTAACTCTTTGGAGATGATACTTCAAATACAAGCACAGATTCCAACAAGGAAGATGAACAACAGGAACCAAAGCCAGGGTCCCTTGGAGCATGAGGCAGAAAGACAAAATGACACAAAAAGAAAAAAAAAAAAAGAAGAGGGTGTATGATGCATGTCAGATGAATTATTCAAGTGAGATCCAGGTCAAATACAATATGTTAAGAGGGGATGCAAAGAGGAAAGTGAGTCTGACCAAAGAAAACTGAATGGCAGTTAACATAAAAGGGAATTCAAAAATCTAATTGGCATGAAAACAGCAAGTAAAGAAGAGGTGAAAGAGTCTATTATGGTTAGAAGGGGTGATATATACTTAGCTGCACAGGGCAAGACTAGAATACATCATTTGTACTTTGTATTGATGTTACTACTGCAGAAGGTTCTGAAAAATACCTACGGAACTAAAGATGGTAGAGGAAAAGGATAAGTGAACATTGATAGCAGGGGGAGGCTGGCTATCCTTCAAAGGGATAAGCTAATATCCAGATACCCTGCTCCTCAGTTTGTTAAAATGATATGGGAGTGGAAACAGCAGAAATACTTAGTATAATGTTCCAATCTTCCCTAGATATGGGGAAGATGCCGATGGATAGAAGTGTGGCAAATGTGACAATTAATCAAGAAAGCATGGAAGGATGATGGTCAGTTTAACATCAGTTCAGTGAAGGATAAAAGGTGTTAGAAACAACAAATAATGGAAAAACTGCTCGAAAGGTATTAAGTGATTTGAGATAATTATGGATAGTCAGCATAGATTTATAAAATGCGGATCATGCTTTATAATTTGAGTTTTTAATTTTTGTGATGACGTAACTGAGGATTGGTGCAAGAAAGCAATGAACATTGTCTAGACAGATGTTAAAGAAATGTTTGACAAAACACCAAATAAAAGGCTGAACACCAAAACAGGCTCATGGAAAAGAAGGGTCAATCTCAGCTTGGCTAACAAATTGGCTGACGTCCTACAGCAGTACTGAGGGCATACAGAAGGAAACAAATGACTTCAGCAGGATATAAATGCGTCAGCCAATTCTATAAACAATGTCAGGTGGAATTTAAAGAAGCACAAGGTGACGTATGTTGGCAGAAGGGACAGGGCAAAGAAATATAAACTAAATGGCAAAGTTCTACAGAATGTATAGATGGACTAGAAGTTCATGTGCAAAGGACATTTAACACAGTAGAAAATATTCCACTGGTGGTTAGCAAAGCATGCAGGATTTTGGCTTAAGTAGAAATACTTCTGTGGAGATGCTGAAGTGTTAATATTACTGGTCTAGCAATCCAGAGCAGGCTGATTTAGGGAAGTAATATCTGGAATGCAACACTAATTTCAGTAATGGTGACATTGTACAACAACTAATAGTTCCCAATCTAATCCGGTTCACTAATTTCCTTTAGAGGAAGGATCTGGTCCATATGCAATGCCAGATGCACAGCAATATGCTGGACTTATCCAACCTCTGCAATGTCTGAGTAAATAACTCAAATCAAGGGCGAATTGAATGGACAACAAATACTGGCCTTGCCATTTGTTACCCACATCCCATTAAAGAAAAATGTAGGAAAGTTACTATGAACTTTATTTATAAAGATCTGACTAGGCCACAACTACAGCGTTGCATCTAGTTCTGGTACATGCTTTACGAAGGATGCAGAATGATTCCAGGGATGAGGGATTTTAGTTATATGATCACATTACAGAAGCTGGGGTTGTTTTCCTTGAAGCAAAAGAAATTGAGGGAAATTTTGACAGATCAATGACAAGTTTAGATTAGATGGACAAAGAAAAGCTGACCTTATTTGCTGATGGTATCAGAACTAGGGAAGACAGATGTCTGGTTCTAAGCAATAGATGTTGCGGGGGTGAGGGGCAGGAAATGTGAGGAAGCAGCTTTGAAAAAATGCAGCAAGTATGATTTGGCCTATGAAGGTTGGTGGAAGTGGAGATAATGAATGATTTCAAAACTAAACTGGCAGGACTATGGAGAAACAGCAGAGGAATGGGATCAGTTGGATTGTTTTATAGGGAGTTGACATGGACTCAGTTGGCTATATGACTGTCTTTCGTGTTGTAAGGGGCTCATGACAGTAAGTCAAAGAAGCGTCTTGTTTGGCTCAGTTGGTTGGTACAGTTTCAACCATTTACTTGATTTGTAGAACCTATCTCTATGCTCTGTACTCTGGTTTTGCCTCATTATTTCCACCCTTGTCTCTATCATTCCACACTAGATGGGTTGGGTTTCTCGATTTCTTTTTCTACATTCATTTTTCCCAAATAAAAATTAGGGTGACCAATAGTTTCATGTATTATGACATGAATGGAATGATTTATTACCTTCATGCGATTTTGCTTAATACCTTCCACAATCTGTTCCATCTGGCGCAAGAACTGGTCTCGAGAAGCAGTAGCAGCCATAGCCCTGAAACATTTCAGAACAGACGTTTATGAAAACATTCCACAGTGCAAATTAGAAACAGAACAAGTTCCAGATGCATGTTTAATGTTACAGGCTAATTTGACAGTTGTGTTGAAGGGTAAAGAATGAAGCTTTGATCCTATTCTTCTTCATATGTAGACATTATATTGTTCTCCACATTTGAGCACCCAAAGAACATACGCAGATGTCATGTCATGCTGTCACTTCCTGCACTGAAGTTATTAATAACATCCCCCAGGTTTTCCAATTTATGGTTGTCTTAAGAGGAAGGAAGGTAGAAGGTGGATCTACACTGATCAGAGTTTAGAAGACTGGGGGCAATCTTACTGAAGGATACAAGATTCTGTGGGGACTGGACAAGGTAGTTGCCAAGGTGTTTTCTCAGGAAGGCCCAGAGCTAGACAGCACAGTTTAAAAATTGGTCTACAATTTAAGACAGATGTGAAGGAATTGATTTTCTCAGAGGGTGGTTAGCCTTTGAAATTCTCTTCCCAAAAAGAAATGGAGACTGTGTCATTGACAAAATGATTTTTGATCAACTAGGGAGTCAAGGGATATGGTGTGGCAGGCAGAACAGTGGAATTAAGGTCACTATCAGTTCAGTCATAACCTTGTTGAAAGGCACGGCAACCTTGAGGGGCTGTATGACTTACTGCTGCTCCTATTTCTCATGATCTTATGGGATGTTCCTTACTATGATCAGAAAAACTGAAAGCAGTACATATTAAAAATTTTAGATCTGAGAAGAAAAAGCTGAGTGACAATAATTAAGTAAACAGGTTATAATTCTTTCTCATCCTTTCTATTAATAAAGTAATCAAACATAATGACAGTAACAGAGCAGACAAAGCAATTAGGAATAGCACAATACACAGTACCTATACAGTATGGACAATAAGGGGTGGCTGGAAAGCATTTGCATGGCCAGGTTTACATTACTTTGAGTTAGTTAAACAGCACATCATCTTGTATGGATCTTTTCTTCTTAATTGAAGATGCTTTTACTTTGATTTGTAAAAGCTCAACTCAGTAACACAGTAAGGATCCCAAACAGTTTGTCTAGTCACTTAGCTTCAGTTACATGATTTCTGGGAAGTGCTGCACTGACCCACTGCCAAAACAGTTCATTCTTAAACAAAAGCATTCACCAGCACAGAAACAAAGACAAGAAGAACCTGTACTTTCTAATTCAAGTTCCCAAAAAAATAATCATTAAAATCTTTTACAATGCATTTCATTGTTTTAGGGTAAAATACTATTCTGTTGATTGAATCCATTTCCTTAAAGCTTCCATTTAGAGGATATAAAGGAAGGACACAGATGAAAGTATGCAGTTTAATTAAGAAATGGGTGCTTATATCCTTAGCAAGGTACAAAGCAGTGCGGCTAACCTGGTCCCATTTTAGTGTATATTTTCACAATGTATCCAGTTTGCACAGTACTTACTGTTGAAAGTTATCATGAATGGAATTCAACAAATTAACCTGGCAAAAAAAGAAACCTGATTCAGTCCTTCTGGCAAGCATTGTTAAAACAGTTGTGCAGTACTCACAGTTCGACTAAAGTTTCAGTCCTTAATGAGACTGTGAACTTTATACTTTGAAATAAATAAACTTGTTTGCACCAAAGTAAAACAGAGGTGCAACCAATGTCAACTGAAATCCTCAGTGAAAGAGAAGATGCAGGAAGTGGGAGCCTATTGAACAGCAGTTCATCAACTATTTGTGACCATTCACAAATCTGCAAATGAAGAAAATAATTAAACAACATTGCACTAATACAAATCAGTCAATGCAAAATAAATTTTTTTTTAGTACTTTCGTAACATGAAAACATGCACTTATGTTTGTGATAGCCACTTAAACAGTTTCAACAGCTATTAGGTCAGTGCAAATCCAGTGGCAAAGATTAGAAAAACAACTGGTCAAGCTCACCAAAATTAATTTTACTGAGCACTATTCATTGGAGGACTTGAAAGTAGTTTTCTACTTTTCTTTAATAATGTTGTCCCAAAGGCCCTCTTGTGCTGCTATGATAATGTCCTTATCCCTGAATCAGGAGGCCTAGATTCAAGTCCCACCTGCTCCAGAGGTGTGTGATAACATCGTTTTTAACATGCTGTTTAGAAAAATACGTTTTTAAAAAAAAAAATTGTTTCTTGATTGAGTTCAAATCCATATCAGATTTGCTGAATATCTAACTTAAACATTAGTAATAACGCAGTTTAATTTACATATGTTGTCATGAAAAAAAAGTTGCCTGCTGTAAGTTGGTCTGCTAACACTGATTTGAGGAGAACTAAAGATTTTAAATCAAGCTTAGAAACATACTGCACAGAAGAGGAGCACTCAAACCATCATGTCTACTTTGGCAAAAAATAAAAGAACTGTGGATGCTGGAAATTTGAAACAGAAAGCTGGAGAAACTTAGGAGATCTGGCAGCATCTGTGGAAAGAAAACAGAGTCAATGTTTCAGGTCCAGTGAGTGTTCTTCAGAACTAACTGTACCTAGGAAAAAGTTGGTATAGATGCTGAAGATGGAAGGGAGAAGGATAGAAGAGGGGAGAAGGAGTAAACAATAGGTGGAACCCAGAGAAAGAGAGAGAACAGCAGTTAGGCTGACAGAAGAATGGATAATGGCTAGCCTGGGAGAAAGGAAAGCGAGTAATGATTCTTACGTCATAACATGTCTGATCAAGTTGATTAAAAATATCCACAAAAGAACTACATAGCTGGTATAAGTAGTAAAGTTGCTCTTCTGGTGCAATGATAGCATTTCTAACTTTCAGCTAGAAGACCAGAGTTCAAGTCCTACCCATTCCAGAGATGTGTGTCATAACATACCTGAACAGGTTGATTACAAATACCTATCCTGAGGAATATGTAGGGCTTTTGTGATGCAGTGGTTGACTCCTTACCTCTGAGCCAGGAGGCTTTGGTTCAAGTCCAGACTGCAGAGTTAACATATTTGAACAGGTTAATTAGAAAGTATCCACTCTGAGGAACTCCTGTAGAAATATCCTGGAACTGAGATGATAGACCTCCAACAACCACAACCAACTTCCTTTGCGGCAGGTAGATCTTGAAGCAGATACTTTTCCCTCCGATTCCCATTGATTCCAGTATTGCTAGGGAACCTTGATGCCACACTATGCAAAACACAGACTTGACACTAAGGACAGTGACTCTCATCTCACCTCTGGAATTCAACTCTTTTGTCATGTTTGAACCAAAGCTATAACGAGGTCAGAAGCTGAGTGGCCTTGGCAGAACTCTGAGTGTCAGTGAGCAGGTTTTGCAAAACAAATACTACTTTATAGCACTGTTGATATGATTGATCATCCAGAATAGACTAATGGAGCAGTAACATACCGGGGCAATTTTCTATATTATTGGGTAGATGCCAGCATTGAGTGTGTACTGGATCAGCTTGGCTAGAGGGGTAGCAAGATCTGGAACATATATCTTTAGTACTATTGCTTAATGTTGTCCGGGCCCATGGAGGGACTGTCCTCAATAGCCCTAACTGAGGATTAACTGAGCAGCACCAGGAATCAGAGCCAGTATAATAAATTGGGATAAGTCAGTCAAAGTAGAATAAGAGGAGAGAATAAAGTAGAATAAAGTTAAGGGAATATCTTTAAGACTAAGTAATAAGAAAAATGAGCAAGGCTAAGTAAGGTAGGTGCCTTTAATTTTAAGGCAGGGCAGGTGAGATCAGCCAAGTGCAACATATGACCTGTCATGTGAAAAGTTATGGATCATACTAGTATCCCAGATGACCATATATGCAGAAAGTGCTCCGAACCTTGGAGTTCCAGGTTTTAGAGCTCAGCAGTGGCTGGATATACCATGGCGGACTCTCAAGGCTTAACCTTTTGTGGATAGCACGTTTAGAGAGGTGGTCACACTGCAGCTCAAGGGATTGGAGGTAAGAAGGGAATAGTTGACTCCAAGGCAATCCAAGAGAAATGAGCAGGTAGTGCAGGACTCCAGAATCCTGCTCACAAATTGGTGTTCGATTTTGGAAGCTGAAGGTGGTACTCGTTCCTGAAGGGAGTGCAAAGAACACCAAGTTGCTTGCACCAAAAAGCAGATGGACTGTACAGTAAGGGAGGAAGAAGAAAAGATGAGCAATAGTGATAGGGAGTTTGTTAGAGGAACAGACAGGTGCTTCTGTGGCTGCAGATATGACTCCAGAATGGCCTGTTGCTCCTTGAAGCCAGCATCAGGAACGTCACTGAATGATTACAAGGCATCTTGACAGGAGAAAGATGATAAAACAGAGGTCATGGTACACATTGGTATCGATATAGGCAATAATGAGAGATAGGGTCTTGCATCAAGAATTCAGGGGCTAGGTAGTTGTTTGAAAAGTAGGACCTTAAATGCTATAATCCCTGGATTACTCCCAGTGGCACATGCTAGCAAGTACAGAAATAGGAGAATAGGGTGGATGAACGTGTAGCTCACGGTCGGCAACAGGAACAGCTTTAGATTTCTGGATCACTGGGACCCCTTCTGGGGAAGGTGCAACTGAACCAGAATGGACCAACATCCTGGAGGGTGGGTTTGTCGGTTCTGTTGTGAGTATGAGGGGACACAAAACGTCCGCACAATATGGACACAGCATATTATAGTAAAGAAACCAAGGCAGAGGGAGTTCAGCCATGTTGCATTTCAGGGAATTAAGAAGAGGCTCAATGGACTGCTTTAATTCTTGGAGTATCACAGTTAAGGGAGATGAGTTGAGGGTGACATTTGGAGTTGTGATATTGTTGAGTGAGGGAGAAGAATTGGCAACTCAACATTCCAGGGTTTAGAAAATTAGTTGAGGCAGAAGACAGTGTTGCATTATTAATTGAGCAGTCAGTTACTGCTGTAAGCAGGGATGATATTTTGGAAGCATCCTCAGTTGAAGCTTTGAGAGTCAAACTTAGGAATAAGAAAGGGGGCAGACACATTGATTTGGGTTCTTTAATACACTGCAAGCAGTGAGAGGAACAGATATGTAGACAATTCACCAAAACGTGTAAAAAAAACAATAGGGTAATTAACAACAGTTCCTTCTCAATAAAGATCAGACAGTCTTAGAGTTGATGCCTTTTTCAGAAAGTTTTATTACTGAAATGTTGCCTAAGTTTAGCACCACTGGTTCAAAGAGAGACACTTTTAAAAAAAAAAATCAGCTAGAATTTCCGGCAATGTGTATAACTGAATGCCAACAACAGGATTATGCTAGGCATCACCAGCATCTAAACAAGCAGTTTTCCAAAACTTATCCCTATGTAAATTGATATAACCACATCATTGCAGAATTAGTAGAATTAAAATCTAGCAATATTTCAGGTGACTGAAATGGATGGGGTGGGTAAAAGGAAAGACATATAATATCTAATGATCAGCATATTTCATATCAGTTAATGAATTTCTTGTTCTTCTGCAACTACCTGCTGCCTTGACATGCACCATGGTTCCAACAACTGCTTCATGTAAGATCATGGAAAATCTCACTTTTATTAAAAACACACTACCTTTTACTTTTTAATGGCTTTGCACAAATACCAGGTGTTCAAGAAGTCCTTAAGAGATATGCAAATAACACAGGACGTGCGTTTTCTTTCCTTCCTGATCCCCCTTTCTAGGTTTGTGATAATGGTATCCATGGTTGAGAAAGAAGTTTCTGTGCATGCTTATGCACACATTTCACTTTGGCAATATTAGATGTATTCTCCATGTGTACCCTTAACCTGGCAATTTATGCCATTTTAGTTTTAGAAATTTATTTTTGTAATGTGGCATTGCAGTCAAGGCCAGAATTTATTGCTTGTCTTTTTTCTCCTTTATTCATTCACAGGATGAGGGCATGACTGGCTAGGCAGCATTTATTGCCCATCCCTAATTGCCCAGAGGGCAGTTAAGAGTCAACTACTTTGCTGTGGGTCTGGATTCACATATAGGCCAGACCAGGTAAGGATGGCTGTTTCTTTCCCTAAAGGACATTAGTGAACCAGATGGGTTTTCCCAACAATCAACAATGGATTCATGGTCATTAGATTCTTAATTCCAGATATTTATTGAATTCAAATTCGAACCCAGGTCCCCAGAACGTGTTCTTGGTCTCTGGATTAACAGTCCAGCGATAATACCACTAGGCCATCGCCTCAACTGCAATTCAGATGGTGGTGGTGAGCCACCTTCTTGAAGCACTGAAATACATGTAGTGTAGAAACACGTTTCTGTTAAGTAGAGAATTCCAAGATTTTTACCCAGTGACAGCAAAGGATGGATGACATGGTTCTAAGTCAGGATGATGCATGATTTGTAAGGAAACATGCAGGCGGTGATACTTGCTGTGAACCAGCTATAGTAGAGTTTGGAAAATGCTGTAAAAAGAAGTCTTGATAAGTTACTGCAGGGCATCTTGTAAATGGCACGCTTGCCACTTTGCTCTGGTAGTAGAGGGAATAAATGTTTCAGGTTGAAACTTGGGTTCCGATAAGAAGGCTGCACACCATTAACTGGTTTTATCTCAAAACAAACAAAGAATGTTTTCATGTTAGTTCCAAATACCACAAACTCAAAACATCAATAACATCATTTCAGATTTGTGAGTAAGCTCCCAGGCGTTTTCTGTATTATTTTTAACCTGCCAATGCACAGCATTTGCAGTACTTTAGTTTTTCATAGGATATAGCTTTTAACTAACTTATTGTTATTTGTCACAATTACTTTGTGTTAAACAGTAAGCTAAAATATAAAGCAAAAAAGTTAGTTTTGATTTTCTTACCTCTTTTTCCAAGTACACTTTTTTATCATCAAGTGTATTATACAGCGTGAAGAACTGCTTTGTTTCCTTGTGAGTTGCTGCAACTACAACAGAACAAATTGACACCAGCAATGGATTCAAGGCTAATTGAGTCAAATCCTACATAGCAGAAGAAATTACAATACACTTAAAAACTCTTAAATGCATATTGCTACAAAATGTAATTTACTAGTGGGATCTTTTAAACATTACTTGAATGCTCTTTATAAATGCATGCTGTACAGGGAAGAGTAAGGAGACAATTCAATACTACAAAAATTCCAATCATTAGCAACATTTACTCACTTAGTTTAAGTCTTTAAGCCATTCGAAATAAGCCTATTACAATTTTTGAAACAAATTTAGATTTTAATAGTTCTATTCTTGATTGGACGAGGCATGGCCAAGGCGAATGGGTAGTAAACTATCAGACCTCAAGATTTTGTTTGAATTCATGAATGGCAAGTTCTCTTGGATTTGCTGACACATTAAAACAGGGAATGCACCAGAGAACAGCTGTCATCCAAATGAAAGTGCTCCAATACCTGGCCATGTTCTTTCTGCTTGCAGGAAGGATCTTGCATGTAAGCATACATGAGCCACACTGTAAGCCCAAATAACAAACTTCAAATCAAATCAGTGTTGCTCAGCAAAGGCCGATTACAGAATCACATTCTGATTTTACGCTCGGAGTTTTGTAAGCACAGGCGAGTTGGACTATGTTCAGAAGAACATTTGACATCAGAATGCTGTTAATGAAAAATACCACTGTGTTGGTTCTATACAGAAGCAGCATTAAACAGCTTATTTCATGTTTCGCACAGATGTTTGCGACAATTTTAAAAACTTTCTGAACTTAAAACAATCAGACATTCCACCAATGTCTTTCTTACACACCTTTTCCAACTCCCAATTTATTTTCTTCCCCACATGCTGACTATTGCCAGAAGGACTATACACAACTCTCATCAAGGTCTTTCTTGCTTTTGCGTTCCCTAACTCTACCCACACAATTCTATGCCTTCCAAATCAATACCACTTCTTGCTATCAATTTAATTTAATTTCTTACTAAGAAGGCAATCCTGCCCTCTCTGCCCATCCTTTTGATATGACATATAATCTATATTTAGTTCCTAGCTGCTTGTATTCCCTCAGTATAACCTCTTTCCTCTTTCTACCTATAGATGGACCATACATGGACCGCAACAATTGGATCTTTCCTTTCCATCCAAGTTCCTCTACAGCCCAGACGATGTATGCTGAACCCAGGCACCAGGCAGGAAATACAGCCTTCAGGATTCTCAATTATGGCCACAGAGAACGTATCTATTCTAATGGGGGAATTCACGTCGCAGCTGTACAGAACATTGGTTAGGCCACTTTTGGAATACTGTTTGCAATTCTGGTCTCCCTGCTATAGGATGGATGTTGTGAAACTTGAAAGGGTTCAGAAAAGATTTACAAGGATGTTGCTAGGGTTGGAGGGTTTGAACTAAAAAGGGAGAGGCTGAATAGGGCAGGGTTACTTTCCTTGGAGCACAGGAGGCTGAAGGGTGACCTTATAGAGGTTTATAAAATCATGAGGGGCATGGTTAAGGTGAATAGACAAGGTCCTTTCCCTGGGGTGGGGGAATCCAAAACTAGAAGACGTAGGTTTAAGGGGAGAGAGGAAAATTTTAAAAAAGGACCTAAGGGCCAAATTTTTCATGCAAAGGGTGGTGCACATATGGAATGAGCTGCCAGAGGACGTGGAGAAGGCTGGTACAATTACAACATTTAAAAGGCATTTGGATGGGTATATGAATGGGGAGGGTTTAGGGGGATATGGGCCAAATGCTGGCAAATGGGACTAGATTTATTTAGGCTATCTGGTTGGGATAGACAAGTTGTACCCAAGGGTCTGTTTCCATGCTGTCCAGCACTGACTCTAAAAGCTTGGGTATAAATTTTCCCCTACTACATTCTCCATTGTAACAACTTGAGCACAGTCTATGTTCCAATGGATCAGCACACATTTTTAAAAACAGTACAAACTGCCGTTCCCTTTGAAATTTGGATTCTTGCATTTGTCCAGATCCGTGCAAGACTAAAAGTTTTGACAGCAAGTCTCTTTTTTGCTGCAATATTCAAATTTTGTACTATTAAGTGACCAGTTTCATACTACTTTGGATGAGCAAGATTTTTAAAAATGATTATCTATCTCCTTTCCTCACTCCAACTAAACTTTTTTCTTCCATAAAACAGACTATTTGCTCCCTTTATCCCCTGCTTTTCACAAACCACTCTAGCTGCTGACTAAACACTTTTACACACCATCAGCTACCTAACCTCCACAGTTGGTTTTACTCAACCGTTTTTAAAACTTAACATACTTTCCAATATTTAAGTGTCCATTATGCATAACTAGGATAGCTAAATTAGTCAGTAATATCTTGTGACTGCAACCATAGCATAGGATAACTTCCTCAATTTTGGATTCACCAGATCTCTTCAAACACATCAAATCACTCCACACAACTCAAATATCTTTCTCTACAGTTTAATGCTGTAGAACTGTTCCTATCCAATAACACTTCCAATTGCTATGCCCTATTGCTGCATTTCCTCAGATGGGGCAGCTTTCAAGGAGAGCTCAGGTCTGACAGCATCTGTGAAGATAAGTCAGAGCCCAAAGTGAGAGCGCTACCATCAGTTTCAAGGAAGGGTCACCCGACCAGAAACGTTAACTTTTTCTTCACAGTTGCTGCCAGACCTGCTGAGCTATAGCAGCAATTTCTGTTTTTGTTCCTGATTTACAGCATCTGCAGTTCTTCTGGTTTTTATTTTTCAAGGATTGACTGTGATCTGGGCAAGTCTCAACGATTTTCAAAACTACTTTCAGGAGTGAATTTTAACTTAACCAATCTAAGGTTTTGCAGTAGATTTGTAGCTCGGGTTGTGGATGTTGAGGTTGGTTGGCCCGCCGAGCTGGCACGTTGTTGTTCCGCATTCGTTTCATTACCCTGCTGGGTAACATCATCAGTGCAGCCTCCGATGAAGCGCCGTTGTGTTTTCACGCCAGGTTTTTAAACTCTGGAGTCCGTTGAGCTGGATTACCTCACTTGCGGTTTCCCTTCGCAATGGAGTGTATATGGGTCGAGTTCTACGTGTTTGTTAATGGCTTTCTTTGTGGAGTGCCAGGCTTCTAGGAACTCCCGTGCCTGTCTCTGTTTTGCTTGTTCCAGGATATTGCGAAGGAAAGCTGGAAGTAAGGTAATCCAGCTCAACGGATTCCAGAGTTTAAAAACCAGGCAGGAAAACACAATGGCGTTTCATCGGAGGCTGCACTGATGATGCTATCCAGCAGGGTAATGAAATGTCTGCGGAACAACAACGAACCAGCTCGGTGAGCCAACCAACCTTAACTTCCCCAATATTGACTGAGACGTTTGGTGTCAAGAGCTTAGATGGGGCACAATTTTTTAGGTGCATCCAGGAGGGTTTCATGAAACAATACACAGATAGTCCAACTAGGGAAGGGCTGTATTAAACCTTGTTTTGGGGAATAAACCTGTCCAGGTGATCAAAGTTTCAGTGGGAGAGCATTTTGGGAACAGTGATAATAATTTCTTTAGTTTTAAGATAGTTATAAGGATAAGAGTGGTCATTGGGTGAAAGTGCTAAATTGGAGAAGGCTGATTACTACAGAATTAGATATGAACTGGAGAAATTAAATTGGGGGTGGCTGTTTGAGGGTTAATCCACCAGTATATCAGAGTTCAGACCGGCACATTTCTATGAGGATGAAAGATAAGGAAACACTGGAAGACAAAATGTTGGAAAAAGAAACAAAAGAACTGTGGCTGCTGGAAATTAGAAACAAAAGCAGAAATTGACAGAATAGGTCAGCAGGTCTGGCAGCATCTGTGGAGAGAAATCAGAGTTAAAGTTTCAGGTCCAGTGACCATTCCTCAGAATTGATGATAGCCCTCTCTCTCTTTGGACTCTATCTCCCCCTATTGTTTACTCCTTAAAACCACCACCCCGCCACCCACCCACCACTACCATATCTTCGGCAATAAAGACCAACATTTTCCTAGTTACCATCAGTTCTGATGAAGGGTCACTGGACCCGAAATGGTAACTCCAATTTCTCTCAACAGATCCTGCTAGACCTGCTGAGCTTTTCCAGTAATTTCGGTCTTTGTAAGAGATGTTGAAAGTTTAGTCAAGGAAAAAGAAGCATTTGTAAAGCTTAGAAAATGAATCCCTCGAGAGTACAAAGGAAGCAGAAAGAACTCAAGAAATTGGGAAGGTTAAAAGGGGCCATTGTAATGTCCTTGACAAGTAGGTTTAAAAGAGAAGCCCAATGCATCTTGTATATATTTTTGGAACAAGAGGGCAACTAGGGGATAGGGTAGGTTCACTCAAGAAGAAAGTAGACAATTTTATGCATTGACCCAGGGAAAGTGGGTAAGGTCCTTCGTGAGTCCTTGACATTGGTAATCATCTAGACGGGCACAGATGATGCTACGTTTAGAGAGGGACATGTTAATATTCTGGGTCATGTTGATATTAAGGATAAACATTAAGGTAGTTAAGTCCCCAGGGCCTGAAGGGATGTATCCCCGGATACTGAAGGAGGCAGGGAGAAAATTACTGGAGCCTTGACAGAGACATTTGTATCCTCTTTAGCCACAGGTGAGGTCTCAGAAGACGATGTTGTTCATTTGATTAAGAAACAGGGATAATTCAAGAAATTATAGGCCAGTGTGCCTTACATCAGTGGTAGGGAAATTATTGGAGAAGATTCTTAAAGACAGAATTTGGAGAAGGATACACTTATTAGAAATCATTAGCATGGCTTTATGCAGGGGAGGTCTTGTCTCACAAACTTTTGAGGAAGTGACAAAGATGATTGATGAGGGTTGGGTAATGGATGTAGTCTACACGGACTTTATTAAAACATTTGACATGTTCCCTCATGGTAGGCTGGTCTAGAAGATTAAGTTGCTTGGAATCTACGGTGAGTTGGTAAGATTGGATTCAAAATTGGCTTGGTCATAGAACACAGAGGGTAATTGTGGAGGGATGTATTACTGGCTGGAGGCCTGTGAACAGTGATGTTCCGCAAGGATCAGTGCTTGGATGTCGAGATAACACGGTGTGGAGCAGGAGGAGTGCAGCAGGCTAGGCAATATCAGAGGAACAGGAAAGTTGACGTTTCGGGTCAGCACCCTTCTGTAGTTTGTAGTACACACGCAAAAGATCTGGATGAAAACGTAGGTGGTCTGATGAGTAAGTCTGCAGACAGCACGACAGAGGGTGGTAGATGCTTGGAACTCACTACCAGGGAAGTGGTAGAAGCAGATACTTAGCAAAGTTTAAAAGGCATTTAGACAGTCACCTGAACAGGCAGGGAAAACAGGAATGCAGACCACACATAGGAAAATGGGATTAGTTTAGAATGGCGTCATGGCTGGCACAGACATGGTGGGCTGAAGGGCTTGTTCCTGCATTGAACCATTCTGTCTACGTTATATAACTGGGACTTCAAAAAACATGCTTACAATATTTTGCATTTCTATAAACACTCATATACAAAGGGATGCAAAACCTTCCAAAGGAATCTTTGCGCCTGATAGCATTTGAAAAATGGAAGTTACTGTAAATATTAATTAAGTTAGTTTTTGGTTTAAATTTAGGCAAGTAGTTTGTTTGGATGAAGCACTTTACTTTAAATGGTTTAAAATGTGTTCGATTAAATACAAACCTTGATTATAGAGTTCAACAAAGCGTTTCTGATATTGGGTCAATTCTGCCCTGCTTGGTACTTCATCAATTTTTCGTTGCAAAACAGCAATTTCTCTATTGCGTCGGGCCTGAAGGCAAACAAGTGTTTTCGTAAATTAACTTTGCTTACAAATGTCAAAACTAGACATCCTATACAGCTTTGAAATTAGTCCATCAAGTGTATACTTTAAACCAGTAGTTTGGTGCCTGCTACTATGAGACAATGCAAAAATTACTTTGTTGAATTCCAAGAATATACATCCTGAATTTTTGGATCTATGCAATAGCCTGGACATGCCACTTAGAAATGGATGTTCTCAGATATCGAAGTCTAACATTATTACAACAAGTCAACATGTTGCTGACATACAAATCTGAAATAAAAATAGAAAATACTGGAAATATCCCGGAGATATGAAAACATCTGTGCACAGAGGAGCGACAGATCGGGTGTGGGGTGACCAAGAGGGAAAACTTCAGCGTCTACATTTAAAACAACGGATTTGTTCACTATATATAGCAACTGCAGTTTTTCTCCACTCCACACACCCCTCCAACCAATTTCCAGATCTGACAATATTTTATTTTTGTTTTTAGAACTTTTGTGCTGTCTACCTGAACCAGCACCTCTCAGCTCATCGTTTTTCTATGACTATGTTTGTAAAAACTGGAGCTGCACTGACATGACACTGCATTACAAAGTGTCTTGCTGTATGCTTTATGCCTGACGTGCATTTCAAAATTGTTTTCCTTACATTTCTATACCTTCTCTGTTTGGCTATGGTATGCTGGAAATTAAAGTACGTATTTTTAACAAAATGTGTATTGTTAAATCAATTGTAACTTACCATTTGGCAGGAGAAAATAGGAATATCTTATGAATATACAACAATATCTTTCGATGACTGAAAACTGGTCGACTGTCAATCAGGGATGACAAGAGAAAATTCTATGCTAGAGATGAAATGAGCCAAATATTTATACTGAGGGGGACATCTTGCTTATTCTCAAACTAGGTCTTTTTGCACTACAGCATTTTTTTTTTGCAGCAACAGAATGTGCTAGATTAGTTTATCTTTTAATTTGTATATTTTCTGGGGGAGAGAAGGGAGAAATTATGGTCGTGTGATATCCTACCTAGGAATTAATAGAAAATACCATAATTTAAGTGTCATAACTATCTTTAACTACCAGCTTCATTAAAGCGTAACTATTTTGTCATTTCATGTATACAACTATTTCACAAACATACACTGTTCCATAACAGCATCTACACACCAAAAAAAACATTAACTTTGAGCTCTGATGGACGTTTGATAATATAGTTTCTCAGTTTGTGCATTTTTAGATTATGATACACATGACTACTTACCAACAACAGTCGTATTTTCTGTAATTTTTCTCTGTCGGCTTTATATTGTTGCTCTATCAATTCATTATGTTCCTATTTAAAATTAAAGCCAATTGTTTAAAACTATTTTCAACAGCTTTAATACACAGATCATCCTGACACACCTGACCCCGCATACGGATTTGGATTCTGCTACTATCCCTTCATTGTGCAGTCCAGATCATATCAGGTTTTATTTTACTTTCTTGTTGCTGTAGTACTTTTGCCAGTTACTGACCATTCAGTCAAATGAAACAGTTTATTCTCATTTAATCCACTAAAACCCTTCATGATTTTGAACACATCTATCAAACTTCCGCCTGGATCTTCTCTGTTTTAGAAAGAGAACAGTTAATATAACTGAAGTATTTCATTCTTGATATTATTCTAATTACCCACTACATCAAGGGCCCTTCATTTCTACAAGGTGCAATTGCCAGAATTAGCCATAATAATCCAGCAGAGGCTTAATGAATATTTATTAAAAATTCAACACAACTTATGCTTTGGTTATTAATACTAAATATTCCCAAAGCAGTTCGAATGGTCCAACTATGCACAAGCCAGCGTGGATCTGACAACTGCATTGGAATTCCAGTAGAACCAGAGATCAATTCTGATATCCTTTAATCTCCACAATCAAGTCCATAAGATGTTGGAGCAGAGGCAGACTATTCAGCCCATCAAGACTGCTCTGCCATTCAATGAGATCATGCTGACCTGATAATTCTCAATTCCACATTCCTCCTTTTCCCTATAACCCTTGATTCCCCTACCATATAAAAATCTGTTTCAGTTTTGATTTAACAAACCAGCCTCAACAGCTCCGATTTCCACAGATTCATTATCCTCAAAGAAGAAATTCCTCACAATCTGTCTTAAAAGCATTATATTCTGAGATTAGAGGAAAAGAGAAGCAATCTTTCTGCATCTACCTTGTCAAATCCCAAGGAATTTGGTGTGTTTCCGTAAAGTTACCTCTCATTCTTCTATATTCCAAATGGTTACAGGCCCAACAACACAACCGCTTCTCAGAAGAACATAAGAACTAGGAGCAGGAGTAGGCCGTCTGGCCCTTCGAGCCTGCTCCGCCATTCAATAAGATCATGGCTGATCCTTTCGTGGACTCGGATCCACTTACCCGCGTTCTCACCGTATCCCTTAATTCCTTTATTGTTCAAAAAAAATCTTTTTTTTTTAAAAAGCGTTTACTGAAGTAGCGTCAACTACTTCACTGGGCAAGGAATTCCACAGATTAACAACCCTCTGGGTGAAGAAATTCCTTCTCAGTTCAGTCCTAAATCTGCTCCCTCTAATCTTGAGGCTATGCCCTCTTGTCCTAGCTTCACCTGCCACTGGAAACATCCTCTCTACTTCTATCTTATCTATTCCCTTCATAATTTTATATGTTTCTATAAGATCCCCCCTCAATCTTCTGAATTCCACATTCCGCAAGACAGCCCCGCCATACCCACTGTCGGCCAAGTGACCCTTCAGGGGACTGCCTCCAATGCCAGTATACCTTTTCTAAATAGGGGCCCAAAACTGATTGCAGCATTCCAGCTGTGGTCCGACTAGTGCTTTGTATAGTTTTATACTCAATTTCTTTGGTTTCAAAGACCAACATTTCATTTGCCTTCCCTATTAGCTGGTGAACCTGGATGCTAACTTTTTGTAATTCATGGACAAGGACTCCCAAATCCCTCCCCCTTATATTTAGGGCAGGCACAGTCGCTCAGTGGTTAGCACTGCTGCCTCACAGCACTAGGGACCCGGGTTCGATTCCACCCTCTGGCAACTGTCTGCGTGGGTTTCCTCCGGTGCTCCAGTTTCCGCCCACAGTCCAAAGATGTGGAGGCTAGGTGGATTGGCTATGCTAAATTGTCCGTAGTGTTCAGGGGTGTGTAGATTAGGTGGGTTATAGGGGGATGGGTCTAGGTGGGATGCTCGAAGGGTCGGTGTGGACTTGTTGGGCCAAAAGGGCCTGTTTCCACACTGCAGGGATTCTATGATTTTCAGCTCCTATAATTTTCCTGCCAAAGTGCATATTCACATTATAACCTATCTGCTAAGATTCAGCCCACTCACTTAACTCATCTATATCACTCTGTAGATACATCCTCACCACTTGCCTTCCCAGCTATTTTTGTTTCATCCGCAAACTCGACTACAGTATATTCACTTCCATTTTTGGTGCAATCGAAATTTTTTTCCCCCCCTCAACATTACTGATCTCACCACGGATATCTTCAAGCAGCTTTGATCGAATGAAGTTTTGCTGTTAATCTGCCAACTGGAGACTGTTTAATCCTCTGGTATTTGTTGGATATTTCAAATTCCTGATGCCTTCTCACTGACACAATAATTGAGATCCCAATGCAATTCGACTCTTTCCTTTTGCCTAGTTAACTTGTATTTCTATTACGGTCATATACTGGTCATTAATTTAGGGACAGTGCAGAAAATTATTATTAGAATTGCAGCAGGAACAAAAATTCAGCTACTCTCCCAGCTCCTTTGAAATATAATGGTTTTCCCTGCTTGGAAAGAAAAGTGTACTGGTTGAAATATTGGACCGAACAGTATATTCCTAGCTGAAATAATTCCGACCATAATTACTAAAAATAAAATAAATGCTGTACAGTTAGGTAAGTTTCTTTTCGGCTGAAAGATCCTAAACACTAAGTTGAAATAATGCACATTCTTAAATGCTTACCTTCATAAGCAAAAATACTTGAAAGTATTTTAAGAGATTTAGAAGTGCAATTTAATGCATGGGCTATAAATACAGGTTACAATTGGACTCTCCTGTTAAAAACTTAATTGACTAACTCTGTCTAGTAGCAAAGACTGATTGGTGCTGACAGAACTACCTGCAGCAACCAGCTCCTGCCACTTAGAGGAGCCTAAATCTTCGATAAAATGGAGCAGAGCCAAGGGAGAAGTGGACATTGGGAGACCTTGAAATGCAAGAACCATCCAACTAGGGAAGGAGCTATAATAGATCTGGCATGTGGAATAGCCCAGCCATGTGATCAAGTTTTAGTGAGGGAGCATTTCAGCAACAATGATCATAATTCTGTAACTTCTAAGTTATTATGGATAAGGATAGAGTATTCCTTGGGTGAAAATACTAAACTGGGCAGGAACTAGGGAATATAGATTGGAGGCTGCTGCTTAAGGATAAACCTACATCTGTCATATTGGAATTGTTTAAAAGGCCAGTTGATTAGAATTCAGGACTAGCACGTTCCTGTGAAAATAAAGGATAAGGCAAGCGAGAGAAATTTGAGCTTAGCCGAAAAGAAAAAGGAGGTATACACAAGGTTTAGGAAACTGATAACAGATAAGCCCTGGAAGAATATAAAGAAAACAGGGAAAGAATTTAAACAAGGAGTTAGAATGGTTAAAGTGGGTTACCAAGTGTCCTTGGAAAACAGGATTAAGGAAAATCTCAATGTGTTCTGTCCATACATGAGAAGCAAGAGGGTAGCTAGGGAAAGTGTTGGTCCACTCAAGGATAAATGAGGGAATTTATGCATATAGCCAGAGGAACCATGTGAGATCCTTACTGAATATATTGCATTGGTATTCACAAAGGGGAAGGACATGGGGGATGGTGAGTCTAGACAGGGGGAGGGCGATAATTCAGTACATGTCGATATTAAAATAGGTGGTCTTGGGTGTTTTGAAAAGCATTAAAAAGGCAGACAAGTTACCAGGACCTGATCGGTTCTATCCCAGAATACTGATGGAGGCAAGTGAGGAAATTGCTGGGACCTTATATACAATCTTTGTATTCTCTTTAGTCACAGGCAAGGTCCCAGAGTACCGGAGGATAGCCAATGCTATTCCTTTGTTTAAGAAGGGCAATGGATAATCTGGGAAATTACTGGTCAATTAGCCTTAAATCAATGGTAGGGAAATTATTGGAGAAAAGAGTCAAAGGAACAGGATTTACTCACAGTTGGAAAAGTATGGATTCATTAGCGATAGGCAGCAGCACTTCGTGCAAAAAGATCATGTCTCACAAACCTAATTGAACTTTTTGAGCAAGTGACAAAGATGAACGATGAGGGCAAGGTGGTAGATGCTGCCGACATAAACTCTAGCAAGACCTATGATAATGTCTTTTGTGGCAGGTTGATACAAAAGGTTAAGTCACATGGGATCAATGGTGAGCTGGTAAGATGGATACAGAACTGGCAGTGGAAGAATGTTTTTCTGACTGGAGCCGAGATCAATGGTGTTCCTCAAAGATTGGTGTTGGGATCCCATATATATGATTTGGAGGAGAACATAGGTGGTCTGATCAGTAAGTTTGCTGCTGACAAAGATTGGGGGAGCTGTGGGTAGTATGGGGGATTGCCAGAGTATACAGCTAGAGACTTGGGTAGAGAAGTGGCAAATGAAATTTAATCTGAACAAATGAGAGGTGATGCCTTTTGGAAGTTCTAATGCAGGAGTGAAGTATACAGTAAAATGGTAGAATCCTTAGAGTAATTAAAATAAAGAGGGATCTAGGCATTTAGGTCCACAGTTCCCTAAAACTAGAAACACAACTGGATAAGGGTGCTCAAAAAGGCATATGACATGTGTGCCTTCATCAGTCAGGCGCAGAAGGGTGTGGAGGCTTTGCAGAGGGCACAGAAACTGTGTACCTGGATGTTGCCCAGTTTGGAAGGAATTAGTTATGAGGAGAGACTGAACACACTTGGTTTGTTTACACTTTAATGTCAGAGGTTGAGGGGTGGTCTGACAGAATTGAACAGATTTGAGAGGCATAGATAGAACGGATAGTCAGACCTTTTTTCCAGGGTAATATAATTTACTAGTAACCTAGGTTTAAGGCAAAAGGGGAATAGTTTAAAGGAGGTGGGAAATGCAAGTTTTGTACACAGAGGATAGTAGCTGCCTGGAATATGCTGCCAGAGGTGGTGGTAGAAGCAGACACAATAATAATGTTTAAGAATCATCTTGACAGATCTATGAATAGACAAGGAATTTGGGCGCCCAGACTATGGAGAGGCAGTAGGTTTTTGGTTTGGAAAAGT